ATATAATCAACACAGTAGAGGTGAAAATGACTGACCTTGATAGCTGGATTTGGGCACATGGGAAAGGTGAACAGTTAAAGAAGGTGATTTTGACTCTTTCACCAGGAAGATGGTGAGATTAGGGACAGAGTGCATGCAACAGGAATAGATGGTTTGCGGGGAATGGGGATAAGGAAATATTCTCGATTCTGCTTTGGATTCTGTGTGTTTAAAGTGCTAGTAGGATCTCTAGTAAAAAGATTTTCAAGTCTAGAGCATTCATGAGCCCTGTTTGCTTTGAGGGGGTGCCTTATTCATATGCCTCACTTCATCCTTTGTTTTATACAGATTTATACTCATTGTAGTTTGATGTTTTCCTTACATTCCCCCAAATTGTGGGGAAGTACCTTATTTAGGACCCTGTGCAAGAGCTACCCTAAGGAGAAAGAGAAGGGGGAAATGCAATAAAGAATATAAATGTTTGGAGGTGAAGTGATCTGGTTTTCATGCTTTAAGCTGGCACACTTTACCGTCCATCTTCATTAACTGGGGAATGGATAGAAAAATATATCTTGAAAGACTGACCCTCAATGAAACTAACAATAAAAAAAAATTAAAAAAAGACTGACCCTCTACTTACAAATCCGGCAGCAACAGACAATATGCATAGATGCAAACTACTTATAATTGAAAAAATAATAAGCCATGTAATCAGAGATGATGACTTTATTAACCACGCCTCTGATTGAGGCTTTTACAGTGCTAGCACCTTTACAAGGTAAGTTTGGAGAGTCCTACTAATAGTCTGAATTGGAAGGCATTCATTCATTCATTCCTCCCCATGCGTTATTTTGGGCTATGGATTCTCGGGAGCAGACACACTCAGAGAGTTTATTAGATGGTTTCTTCCTTTCTTTTCCCTTTGCCACATTGTAGATATCCTGAACTCTCCCCTTCATCCATTCTTCCTCTAGAGCCACCTAGGCTGGAGCTGTATTAAACCCCGCCAGGCGTGGTGCTTTCCTCCAACCCCCACCTGGCGAGAGCACGTGCCCCAGGGACCGTTGAAAACACCAACAGTCCCTTTTGTCCAGTAGGTGCGCGCGCAGGGCTGGTCCGGCTGGCGCGCCAGAGCCGGGGGCGCGAGCCAGGGCGGGCGGGAGCGGGAGTAGCTGGGGCGCCAGTCAGGGCAGCGGACGCGGGACGAGTCTCGAGTCCAACGAGAGCAGTTGCGGCCCGAGGGGCGCGCTAACCGACAATCAGAGTTGGGTATGGAGAGCGCTGTGCTTCCACTTTGCATTTCTGGAAAAGCAATTGAATACAGTAAGGTAGAAAAAGCAAGTTGAAAAAATGATAAGTATTGTAAGATCCCATTTATGTAGGATGTTTCACAGCGTCAAACTGTGTACACAGTATGTAGATGCATTGAAAAAGGGCTGTCGAAGCTCTGGGGAGGGAGTAGGCTGGGCGAGCTGATGGAGGGAGCTTACTTTGTACACTATATATTTTTGAGACACTTAACATTATTATTACTTAGAACGTAATCTTGTAATTGAAAAAAAAATTGGATTTGGGAAGCTTGGGTAGCCTCTTGCTTCCTACCGGTAGGGACCTGCTCAGACTCTCCAAGCACCTGCAAGACAAGTCAAGTAAAATTTTTAATTTTTTTATTGGGGAATTGGGGGAAGGGGAACAGACAAGTTGCTGTCCTTCTGTTCCTCAGTCTAGCTGTGGAGGACGTTGCTTCACTGGCCCAAGTTGGCACCATCATTGCACTCTTCTCGGGTGAGGCACATCAGTCACCAGCTTCTGGAGGGCAGCTCACAGAGGCCGCTGGCTACACACGGTAGCCCATGGCAACCCACCTGCCGTTGCCGGTGACTCACGACAGCCCAGCTCCAGGTTGAGCTGCTGTTCAGCATCTTAGCTGTAGAGGGCAGTGTCACTGGCCCTCATATGTGGGATTCGAACCAGGGCCCTCTGGCATCCCAAGCCAGCTCTTAACCAACGCGCCACTCGGCTGGCCCTCAAGTAAAACTTTTTCACACTCACCCTTCTCCCTTTCTCACAGCTCCACCTCAGCTCCCTCTCATCTTCTTACTCAAAATCCTTGGACTTAACCTTGTGGGGGAGCCTTCTTCACAGTCCTTCTTATTACAAATCTACCTGAAAAATCCACCCTCAAAGAGGAAACATTTTGAAGGATGGTAAATTACTCACAGGCACCTGAACCAGGAGTAATTTGACATTATTCCTAAACAATATTTGACAAAAATTAAGATAGAATATTTACTGTATGTTTCTATTTTCTCCTAAATAGTTATATCATAGTGTTTCTTTAATCTGATCACATGATGTTAAATACTTTTTCATTTTAAGTTTTCATTTTGAAATAATTGACTTAGGAAAAAAGAATTAGGAATTCTTACAAAGAATTCCATTATATTCTTCTCCTAGCTTTCCCACATGGTAACATTTTAACATATAGCACAATGATCATAACTAGGAGACTAGCATTACTACTACTCTATTAACTAATCTACAGATATTATTCAAATTATTACAATTATTCAACAACTGTCCTGTCCCTTTTTTCTGGTCCAGGATTCAATCCAGGATCTCACAATGCATGTAATTGTCATGTGTACTTAGTTTCTTCTGATCTGTGACAGTTTCCCAGTATTTTTTTTTTCATGACTGACACTTTTGAAGAATACTACTGGCCAATTATTTTTTGAATGTTTTTCAATTGGGTTTGTTTAGTATTTTTTCATTATTAAATTTAGGTTATGTATTTTTGGCAAAAATACCACAAAAATGATGTTATGGCATCCTCAGTGAATCATATCAGGGGGCACAGGATGTCAGTGTGTCACTCTGGTATCACTATTTGATTGCTTGGTTAAGGTGGTTTCTGCCAGTTTTTTTCTAATGAAATGTTTGATTTTTCCTGTTGTATTTGATCAAAGGAGGCAAATATCCTCACTAATTTTATCATTCATGATTCTTGACTGCAACAGTTTATACTATGGTGTTTGCCAATGGTGATTTTTCTGTTTCCATCACTCTGATGTTAAATTTTAATCTGAATATTTAAATGCACAGTGATTTTTTAAGTGCAGATATTTGACTAATTCTTTTCTGTTTTACATTAGGGAAAAAAAGGCAACGGAAGTTGCGGAATATGCTGTGGAATTAGTGGCTAAAAGGAAATTTATGAATGCATTGCAGATAATTGAATTCCAAATGAATAATTCATTATTCTTAGTACTTGTGAAAACTTGGATTTTAAAATCCCAATTTGCATGGATTAACGAACTCATTAATTAAATTGGTTTTTATTACTCCGGTGTTTGTACTAGGTCTTGTAAATGGGCAAATGTAAAATGGTGTTTAAAAATAGAACAAAGAAAAATGTCTTTAATGTTATTTCCAATGTATTGCTATTTTTAGTTGGCATTTGCAAAACTGATCCTTTAAATCAACAATACATCTGACTCTCATCCAATGTTATTTCACTTTATTTAGCCTCAATGTTTGCTGAAAGGATTTACTGGAATGAGTACTCCTTTGAATGCACTACAAGGAAAGTGGAATTCTTGTATGTGAAACTTAGAGATCTTTTAATCTGTGGATTGTTTGACTATGAAGAATTTTGATAAATCCCATTGGAAGATTAAGTTACCCTGTGCAGCATTTTTCCTAACTTTTATCATTGCAGATGGGAAACTGGTCTGAGATTGGGTCTTAGCCTTGGTACCAATTATTTTTCTTTTGCTTTCAGTATGAAGGAAAGCAGAGAGTGAGTTTAGATAAAAAAAAATCACTGACTTTTTTGAGTATCTGATATCTATGAACCCTTTCCCCAGAAAAGTGCACACTCACATGTTGCCTGAGAGCAAAAGCACTCCAAAGTAAAACTGAGGGGAGAGGGAAGAGGTGATGGGAAGGGAAAAGCCGGCTGTCAGACTGTAAGAGGCCTCTCAGACAGCTTCCCTTCCTGCCATATGGCACGGCTTGCCTCCCTTGGCAGCTCAGGTGGGGCAGCAAAGGCTGCACAGCCCATCTGGCTCCTTGTAATTTCCCCCACACCCCTCCCTCAAACCCCAATATCATCCTCTCCTTTGTCACTTAGCCCCCAGTCGGCTCAGCTTTCTAGCTGGCTTTTCACTCCTTATGAGGTCCTCACTGTCACTGGCTGGTTCACCTCTTTCGCCTAAGTGTTGTTTGGGAACATAAGTCAGAAGCTCAAGGGAGAGAACCTGTCCACTTTCAATGGCTACAGCGGAGAAGAATTTGTTGAATAAATGTCAACGTTCTCCCTTATCAGTACAGAAGTCTTGCCACGTTCCCCGCTTGTTTGAAGATGGAAGAGCTGATGAACACTTGGGGGAACACGTCTAAAATCAATAGCTTACTCGAATGGAGAAAAGGCCGGAGAGTTACTGCACACCTCAATCCCTCAGAGGCAGGACGAGGTTGGAAAAGAGAAGTGAGAGCCGAGGAAAAGGGATCAGGACCCGTTATAACGAAACGTTTTTGTTCCCGAGCATGGAAAGAATATGAACTCTCAGAAACCGCTTCTTCGCCCGCCAACCCCTCGTCCCCTGCGGCTGTGACAGCGCTCGGCGCCTGGCCCAGCTCCTGCCCGCCACCGCTCGCGGCAAAGCTTGGCGCTCGGATGCGCGCCTCCGGGGACAAAGAGCAAGCGGCTGCGGGGCGGGGCCTCCAGCTCTGAGGGAGAGGCGGGGCCGAGGCGTTTGCTGGGGGAAGCCCTCCCGGGTTCTGACGTCACAGAAGCGCTGGCCAATGAGGAGCCAGAGAGAGGGATTCCCGCTCTGGCCGCCGCCTCGCCGGCTTTTTAAACGGTACCCTGGGGACGCACTCTGGGAGCGGTGGGAGGAGCGGGGGAAATGGAAGTTGGGGGTGAAATATGATGGTCCTAGAGGTTTGACGATTAGGCGTCAAGACGGGGTTAGGCTTGGGGGTTAAGCCAGAGGCCGTCGAGGAGAGGCCAAAACTCCTGGTAGGGCAAAGTCCTGAAATGGAGTGGAAACTGGAGCGCACCGCCCTTCGGAGGGTCCGGACCGAAGAAGAGATGCTGTGGGTAAGGCCTTTTTGGTTCTTAACCCCAACTTCCTACAAGAGCATCTTGTCGAAGGCGCCGTTTGTAATACTTGTTTAGGACCAAAGGGTAGCACAAAACTCTAAACCCTGATCTTAATTTTACATTGAGTTGGGTAATTTAATTATATTCTGGAGGTTGCTTTAAAAATGTGAATGTGGTTTGACAAGATGAGGCTTTAGAAACGTTTCACTCCTAACATTATGATTTTCCTAAATAGTTTCTCTCTTCATATATTATCTGTATTTTCAAAGGAGAACATCATGCAGGTGCTCTCCAAAGGCATGAAGCAGAAGAGAAGTCAAGGTTCTCCCAAGGTGAGTGTTCAGTGCTTACTTTAGGTCTCTGTCTTAAATATGACCTTGAAAAAACTGATTCTTGCTAAAGAAAACATTTGTTGGAAGTATAGTGGTATGAAAATATGAAAAATTTAAAAATCAATCTCATATCATCACTAATTATTGTATAGACCTAAAATAATTCTGTAAGAAACTGAAGATCCCTGACAAATAATGGTAATCATTTGTATCTGAATGGTACTTTCTAGTGTTTGCCTCAAAGGCAAAGGATGAAGCTTGGATGTGTCAGGTAGGCAGTGTGTTGCTAGCTGGTAGTTATAATTTCATTTTAACAGTTGTTAGTTGCACTCCCCCTCTGTTGCATTCATAAACTTGCCCCCTAAAGAAATCGAAATGGTGCCATCTTGTGGACGAGAAGTGGCATAATCCACCTAGCTGGTAGAGTAGTAATTTAAAAGTTGATTCAAAGTATTGTAGTACTTTCTCTCCTTGAAAGTCCACAGCCAAAGGCCTTTACCTTCTCTTGCAATCAGTGTACAAATGAAACAAATCCAAGTGATTTTTTTCTTATTTTTTCCACATGAACAGCCCTCACCTGCTTTAAATCTCTCATCACCATTCACGTGCTTCTCTCTAGGCTAGTAGATCACATTCCTTCAATCTTTACTTACATGTTCTAGTTTCAAACCCATCACTATTTTTAGATTTTTCTATTCTTTAATTTTTTTCTATATTTAAGTGGTGACACAATAAATCGAACACATAACTGCATGTTCAGAATGCAGTGACTAATATCCTTTATAGTGAGAGTAAACAAATGACATTTAAGCCCTTAAATTTCCTAAATACTTTAATGTTCATTCCCCCCACCTCACCCAAACATAGCTGAAGATTTGTCTTATGTCCAGCTTATGTATTACCATGATTCCAGGTATTTTACTGCTGAATACAGACAACTGGTCTTTCGGTCAGTAAATAGAAATAACTGGAAAAGCTATAGTTAAGTATAACTTTGTTAATTCACTTGTACTACAATAACGTGTTTTCATATCCAAGCTTTTAATTTGGAAAACCTAAGTTTAAATATTCTGAAAATTTTTCTTTTTAAGTTTTTGACCAAAGAAAATATTTATTTTATTTCTTATAACAGTTTTGGAGGAAAATATTTTGTTTATAAGTTTTCTTTAATGTGACTATTAAGATTAAAGTTCTGCCACTGTGTTTCATATTACAAATTTAGCCTCAGTGACTTTATGGGCCGTGAAAAGCAGCAGTGACCTGAGTCAGGTAGGCAGTGTATTGTTAGCTGGCTGCTTTGGGTCATTTCAGCAGCCACAACTACCCTGCCACTTGCTTCTGGATATATTCTTCTTGTTAATGAAGTGCACTGGTTACCTGTATGTGATGGGTTGGCAGTGTATTGTTAGCTGGTTGAATATGTGAATGACATCAGCTAACATGCAACTGCTATCTTATTGCATGTACAATGAACATCGGAGTATAATTAAATCTGTAAGTAATGTATGTTTGTGTAGATGTACTTTTAGCTATGAACCAGGATATTCTTTACCATAATACTTATTATTGCTATTCAGTTACTCACTTATAATACAATAGACACCTTTCAAATGGTCAAGAAACTACTCTTAATTATTTAAACAATTTCCAGGTAATATTTTGGAGTCTCTAATTCTTGCAGACAGTATTAAAGTATTTGTGAAATTATATATTTATTATTTAATATAAAACTTAGGATATAAAAACAGTCTGGATGGAAAGCCTAAAATATTTCCTTAATTTTCAACCAAGTTATTAGTATTTTTTCTGGATGATCAGCTTCTTAATATGGCATTAGAGTAGGTCTCTATAATGATGGTATGTGCAGCTGAAGGGAGAATTGAGATGACTTTCCACATGAGTCAGTCAAACATTTTCACTTAAAATAGCAAGAAATTTGGGATTTTTTGGGGGTGGAGGAAGGGGTTGAATTGTTCGGAGGATTTGCCTCAATTTTTCACTTCAGATTTTGTAAAGTCACAGACTTGTAACATATTTGGAAGACAGCATGAAATTGAGCTTGTGAAATGGGAAGAATTGACCATACAATATGATTTTAAATATTTTCTCATTCCCTTGGAGGCCATTTTGACCCATGGAGCAGTATCAGGTGTGCGCTGTGTCCCAGATATACAGTGTGGACATTTGCAGCAAGTTCATGGAACTGACTTTGGTGGTTTGGTCAATTAGTTACACATGAAATGAGATGTGAGAAATATCTCACCCTCTGTACTGTATTGGATTATAAGTTATTGGTAAAATAATTTTTATTCTTACCTCATTTAAATTTAAATCTTTCTAGAACCACGAGTTAAATAATTTGATTCTTATGCATTTTGCTATTCTAAAAATCTCACCCTCTTTTTGTCGTTGCTCAATGTCACTGCATTTGCAGGATCTTTGTGTTTAAGTATCCCTTCCATGTAAATATTGTTTTCATCTTTTTTTTTTTAAGATTAAATTTCAACATGTTATTTTTCATAGAAAGTCACTAACCTGTTGATAAAAATAAAACCTACTAAAATGGGAAGGCTTGGCCTTTGTGTTTTAATTTTTGTAAACTAAAAAGCAAGACATAAAATGCCAACATTTATACTCAATAAACAAAATACATATTTAAAACTGTTCTTCAGTTTCATATTATTGAGATGATGAGAAAGGAAGGGAAGAATAAAAGGAAATAAAGATAAATTAAGAAGCTCAATGGGTAAGGAGGAAAGTGAATACATAAATTCAAAAGGAAAATGTTTCCATAGGTGTGAGAGTGAAAGAGAAGGAGCCACACTTCTGCCCTCAAAGGAAAAGAAGAGGGAAAGGGGTTGAAAAAGAGGAGGAGGGAGGACCTACTAGTTGGGAAGTATTTTCTCCCACATGTTTTCTCTTGGGGCAACCACTGTGCTGTTCACTGATGCTGGGGATGTAACTGCTTCTCGTCACCACCATCTAGAGGGCTTCCTAATTCCTTCCTTCTCTTTAACCACTCCCTCCTCCTTCGCCCCCCCCCTCCCTCCAAGAGAATGCTTCCCTCTGTAAGGTACGGCCTTAACAGTTCAGCCATTGTAAAAGAAAGGAAAGAGTGGGGAGGAGTGTGGTGAGTTGGCCCTAGGTATTACAGTTATTAGAATTTTATTATTCCATGGGGAAGATGAAATCGAGCTGAGGGATAAATATAAACAGTGTCTCCATATTAGCTCCATTCAAACATGTCAATTTTCTTTCAAAGGAACACAGGAAAGAACGGGATATTTTGTACAGGGACCACTCAAGGCTTTTTACCTTATGCAAGGCAAACTTTTTTTTTTTTTTTTTTTTTTT